CTGCACTCGGGTGGCCTCAGTGACATAGGGCATGGGGAGGATTTCCACCCGGCTCAGTGGCCGCAGCAGGCTGACCCTGCGGGCCAGGGCCCGCCGGTGCCCACGCTGAGTCACACATTCCAACAGTAGGTCCAGGGTATACTCCATGCCCCGTGCCGGGTCGAAGCGCCGGTAGCCGTTGAGCAGCCGCTGCTTTTGGAAGCGCAGACGGGGCTGATAGCGCCGATTGAGCTGCTCCAGGGCAGTCTCCAACGCATCACCTACGTCTGCCCTGCTGGCCCCCTGTAGTGGGCACTTCGGAGCCCCATCTGCACAGGAGAAGGTGTGCTGCTCTGTGAAGTAGTCCCAGCCCAGCACCTCAAAGCGAGAGTGTGGTGTGAAAGGAGCAGGGAGCCCAATGGGCCAGCTCAGCCCTGCCTCCCCTTCGGGGGTCAGCACCGTCAGGTTCCGGATCTGAGCCTGGGTTGGAGGGAATGTGCCTCACGTTAGTGCCAGCCCCAGGACCCTACCCAGCTCCAACTGCCTGGGCTCTGAGATTCAAACAGCTGAGCTCTGTCCTAACTCCATCAACAGTGAGGGGTTCCTTGCTAATCACTGAATCCCCTGTATGTTACTCTTCACCTCTAAAATGTAGATGGAATAGGAATCACACCCGCCTTACACAAATGCCATGAGAAAGAAGTGGAAAGTGTGCTTTTGTGCAGGTAAAAGTATCTTTAAATAGAAGCTCAACAGCCTTTCTCTTCCATACCCAAAGGACCCGCGTCCTCTTCATAATCAACCCTTGTTTCTATCTACACTCCACCTCTGCAAACCCCGACATTCAACTTAAGAATTCTTCTACCTTCTACCCTTGGGCTTTCTTGGGACACTCACAGAAGTTCAGAAACCAGACTTTTTGCCTCCTCAGTGGACAGGCACTACAGAGGAGGAGCTAAAACTATTCGGTCTGAACACTGTGCGGAGTTTCTTGATCCTGAGTTTACTTACAAACTCCTTTAGCTGCATTCGAGTGGTCCTAGGAGCTTACCTTATGATTGCTTTGGACCCCCAAGGACCTTCATCCCTCTAGTTGTTTTACATTTCAGGATGGTCAGCCTTTTCCTGCCCTGCCATTATACAGAGCCTAGCCCAGCCCCACTGCCAGCTGCTCACTCATTGTACACCTGGACATCTCAGGCTCTCTCTGACCCTCTGACCGTGGTCCTCTGCCCACCTGCTCCTCTTCAGCTCACCTGCAGTTGTTCTATTTCACTGTAAGCCCGCTCCAACTCCAGAGCGCTGAAGCGTTTGTGGAGTCGGTACATGAGGGTACCTTCGGAGACAGGGTGCACGGCGAAGGCACTCAGGAAGGCCGAGCTCCCTTCCTTCTCAGGGTCCCTATTTTTGGCCAGTTCAAATGAGCGATACTGCTGCCCCTAGAGGGACCAATCAGACCAATCAATTCCACACACAAGAGCTGCCAGTCCCAAACCACCCTTAACCACACTCAGCGTTCACATTCTGTTAGCACTGCTGCGTTAGAACAGAGGACAGAGGAGGCACTCTTTCCACCACCTCCCTTAACCCCGGTTCTTTCACTGCCCGCACTTTGGAAAGTAGAAAGCAAGCAGGCAACTAAGGACACTCTCGGCGACTCTCAGCGCACTCCTTATGGGCCAGCCCTACTCTGCAAGGAGCAGTCACAGAAATAAAGTACTAAAAAGAATAACAAGGATACTCTCCTCCCCCAAAGAATCCCATTGTTCCTCAAGGGAATGAAAGCCACAAGCTAGAAAATCTTCCCTGTAATTTGGTTTGAGAGGATGTGCCACCTCTGGGCTCTTCCACTCTTCTCCAGAACAACAAACAGGGAAGCCCTCTGGGCTGGAAAAGTGATCACCTCACTTCTCTGAGGAGTGGTCATCTCTAAGACACGCCCACATTGCCATGTCAGGGGAGGTATGGAGGGCAAGGGACGGTAAGAGCACACTTTGGTCTTGCTTAGGAGTCCCTCACAAGATACCACTTTTGATAGCCCTAGGTTCTCAGATTGCCAAAAGTGAGCAACCGAGGGTCCACAGGGTGGCCAGTGGCTAGGAAGGGTGAATAATGGCCTCCAAGGTGCTGCTGGAAGGAAGGCCAATCACTCATCCCCCACTAGCTTATCAGGGACTGGGACTGACTTGAAAGAGCTGTCACCTGGTGCTGTGAGACACAGCCGACGCCCAGAGAGTCAATGAGGCAGCGTCCAAGCCACTCATCAGGACGGGCACTGAGAATGTCTCCTCGGCAGCCATCCAGATGTGGCCGCAGACGAAGCAGGAGACTCCGTGACAACAGGTAGCCAAAGCCCCCATGACAGTATCGGGCCTGCTCGCCTGCACCAATGAACTCCTCCGCCCGGCCCAAGTACAGGTCTTGGTTGATGCTGAGGTGGCCAGCAAGGGCTGCCAGGCGGGGGGCCTGCACATATGTGTCATCTTGCATGATGAAGAACCAGTCGTAGTCAGCCCCAAAGTGTGTGTGAAGGTGACGCAGGGTCTCTGACATGAGCCAGGCTGGCCGCTCATCCCCATGAGACACCACGTGCATCCCTGCCGGAGCCCGGGCTCCCCGCTGCCCAGTGAAGTAGAGTAATCGAGGGAAGTGATGGGCCACTGTACGGTTCACAGCGACAGCCAAAGTGGACAGTGTGGCTCGAGAGGTCAGGACAGCCACCAGCAACCGCTCACGGGAGCCCAGCTCTGTCTGGATGTACCGAGTCCTGTGGAGAGACCAGTGTGCCAGGGGTCAACTCCCTCATCTTCAGGAACCTAGCTTATTCAGTATATACATCCCCCTCTAGGGAGTGAGTGAGTTGGGGCTGAGAAGGGAGAAACTTCCTTCCTTGTCAATATTAATTAGGTTCTGAACTGCATATCACTAAGTAGCTGACACTGGAATTGATTTGGGAGGAAAGGGAGTCTACTAAAAATAGATTAGATGGGTTAGATGCAATTTAAACTCTGTTCAAGAACATCTAACCCTAATTTAACACCAAAGGGTGAGACTTTCTAAGATCTGAGAAGGAGAGAAAAAAACAAAAACCATAACGGGAAATAAGACAGAATAGCTCCGAGTCACCTGACACCAATTGCCAATAGAAAGGCAGAGGCAAGAATTTACACCAGCCCAAAACAGGGCCAGTGTCTGGGGACTATGCACACACATAGTTCTCACCTGAGCACCTTCTTGTAGGGCTTGTTGGGGTCCCTATAGTAGGGGACAATCCGGGGTTTGAAGTCTTCATCAGTTTGGTCTAGCCGAGCTCTTGAATCTGGATTCTGTGGCCCTCCCCGCTCCCCTACAGCCTCCACACAGGGATCTTCTCCCTCCCCTTGGATCCAGGAAACCCGCAGGAGACTCAAGCTGCACCCCAGAGACAGCCCTAGGATGAGGGGAAGCGCTGGCCGCAGCAGGGCCAACAGGGAGCTCAGTCGCATGGTGGTAGACCCTGCCATGTGGGTGCCCCACGGGGCACAACCTCAAGGATCAATGGATTGATGGGCACCAGGCCAGCGGTAGGCCTGAAGCTTTAACCAGGGAACCTGGGGTCAATGAGGCCAACAACAGAGCAAGGCACACTGGCTTCCAGGCCCAGCATCCCCAAGAAGATTGACTGTCCTGTCTTCACAACTCCCTCTGCCTGGTCTTCAACTGTGAAGGTGCGGATCTAACCCCCAGCCCACGCGGCAATACATGTAACAATCAATTTCACTCACACTGGGACTACGGTCTGTCTTCCAGTAGAAAGAGGAGGAAGTAAAACTACATACCGCCAAAGCTAACCCAAAAAGGAGCACTATACACATCTGCAGACTGGGCCTAAGTCAACAGATGACAGCAAGCAATTAGAGGTTGGGGAAAGCACACGATCCATCAAAAACAACAGCCCCCAACCAGAGGAGCCGGCGCCGGCCTCAGTGGGCCTTTCCTGAAGAATGCCTGGCTCTGGCACGGGTCCTCAGGCAGGCTACTGACGGGGCTGCTGAGCCACCGCGGCAGGCTCGGCGGGCACAAGGGAAGGGGCCAGAGCCTCCTTCTACTCTGCTCCTCGTGTGAGGAGACGCAATGGCTACAGGAACCCGCCTCCCACTCAGGAGCGGCCAGGAGCCACTCGCATGGCACACACAAGTTCTGCCCACCCGAATGAGCTAGACGGATCGATGACTCAGCACTGACAGCCTCTCAGGAGCGCCATGGCCGATGCAGCCATCTTGCAGAGCATTCTCCTGGGAACCCCAGCTGCTGAGAGGAGACAGCGGGCAGGGACGGGAACTCTTGCTGTGTGCAAGCAATTCGGTGCCTGGTTTTACCAGGGCCCCAGAGGCCAAACGAAACAACCCAAAAGCAAACAGAGAGGCCTCTGAGAGCACAAACAGAAGCGCAGCCGGCTTCCGGCAGGGATCCTGCCGGGGGCCGGCGCCCCGGCTCTACCTCCCGGCGATCAGAGACCAAGCCTAGCCCTAGAACGAAGGCCCGACGCGAGTCCTCGCCGTTCGTTTCAAAACAGAAATAAACTGGCCACGTCACCCGGCTGCTGAGAAGGGGGCTCGGGAGTCCAGCTCGGATCGTTCTGCGAGCCGGGGTCGGAGGTCGCCGCTGGGAGACTGAGGCACAGACCTCGTTCTCAGGCCCGTCGGCGGGAGCAGAGGCCGCGCCAGAGATGGCACCGAGGCCGCGAGTGCAGGACCAAGAGGGACGCCCAAGCCCCACGGGGAGGAGGCCCGGGTTTCAGGGCCCAGGACCAGCGGACGCCAGATAAAGGGCGGCCGGGGGCTCTCGACGTCCCGGGACGGGGCGGGGCGGGGCGGGGGCGTGGGGACCAAGAGCGGCGTCCCGCACGCGCCTGGCAGGAAGCAGGGACGGGGAAGGGGGAACAGACCCCAGTGCCCGCCGAGGCGCCGGCTCCGCCGCTGCAGCCGCTGCCACCTCACAGCCCCGGCCCGCAGCTTCCTCTTCCGTTGCCTGTCAGTCACCTGTCTCTATGGTGACCGCATCCGGCCGCTCGCTCTGCCCCCGTGCGCGCTCTCTATGGTCGCTCCCGTGGCTTCTCCGCACCGCGCTCAGTCTCCGCTGGGATCCCAACGGCTGGTCCCCAACTGGCAACTGGCCGCCCACCGAAAAGACGCGTGCGCCCGCACAGACGCGAATCCAGACAAATCCCGACTGGACCAAAGGTGCCCCGTAGCTTCGGCTGAACCGCATGTGCCCCGGAAAAAAACATGCCCCCACCCTCGGGAGTGTGCTTCTCCCAATTAGCTGGGGAATCCCATCAGCCTTTCAGTTACCTAAGAAGTATTTGTTGTTTCCCAGGCGCGTACGTCCATCTAAGGAAGCTAAGATCCGGGCATCTTCGTGAGTGCTGGGGAAATAAGCGGTGGACGAGATGGGCATGGTCCCTGCCCTCAGGAAACTGTGAGTTGAGGGAGACAGGCAATAAACACACTGACATAACAAGAATAAAACGGGTAGAAATCCCAATCCATTGCAGAAAAGCACAGAGGCCTGTGGAAAAACTAAACAGTATTAAATTAGATTAGGAACTTGGCAATACTGAGATCCAAAGGTTCAGGAAGAGTCATCCAGACATGAAGTGGACAGTTGTCCATGCAAAGAACACTAGAATGTCCTAAGAGAGGAAACATTGGCTTAGAGAAGAACTGGGAAGGCCCAGGGCATCTTAGAGCCTGGTGCGGGGAGAACAGCCCAAGGTACTTCTGGGGACAGGGAACAGGAAGGGCCTTCGGACCACCACAGTGGTTCCCCAACCAGAATGGCACCCTCCCTAAGGAGCAATTTGCAAATGTACGGGGCAATTTTGTTATCAAATGATTGGGAGAGAGGGGCCAAGGAGGCTCCATGTCTTGCACATTGCAAGATGGTATCACACAAGAAAACTGTCCTAGGCTGGCGCAGTGGCTCACACCTGTAATCCCAGCACTTTGGGAGGCTGAGGCGGGTGGATCACCTGAGGTCAGGGGTTCAAGCCCAGCCTGGTCAACATGGTGAAACCCTGTCTTTACTAAAAGAAAAGAAAACTGTGCTGATCCCACACAGCTTTCTCATGTCCTACTGAACATTTATATAGATTCAAAACAAAACAAAACAAAACAAAACTGGTTATAATCATCTGACGTGCCTGTGTCTTTTTTTTTTTTTTTTTAGATGGAGTATCGCTCTGTCGTCCAGGCTAGAGTGCAATCTCGGCTCACTGCAACCTCCTCCTCCCAGGTTCAAGCAATTCTCCACCTCAGTGTCCCTAGTAGCTGGGATTACAGGCACCTGCCACCACGCCCGCCTATTTTTTGTATTTTTAGCAGAAATGGTGTTTTGCCATGTTGGCCAGGCTGGTCTTGAACTCTTGACCTTGTGCTCCACCCCACCTCGGCCTCCCAAAGTGCTGGGATTACTGGCATGAGCCGCCAAGCCTGGCCGCCTGTGTCTTATATACAAAAAACGAAGTAAATTTTTAGGGGTGTGAAACGTGCTAAATTTTTAAGAAATGTAACCACCATGTTAACAGAAGGTAGATTATACTTTGATTTATTCAGGAATGTCCTAGGAGTTACCCAGCATTTTGGAGAACAGTGTCATTGATGACAGTGTTATTCATGGTGTTCAGTCTGCATTTGCACTGTCACATTCAAGGTGCTCCTATGCAAGCATCTGACTGCTTTCTAGCATACTGAAATAAAATTGTTATCTTATTATAGAGGGTTTCCTTTTATTTCTTCTTTCTGTTATGGTTCAGACACTATCATTGATTTGAAATTATGTATGTAATTAGGCTATATCATCTATGAACTTCATTTCAAAACAGTAAACAGAGTTATAAAAATGTTATTAAGGCCAGGCGCAGTGGCTCATGCCTGTAATCCCAGCACTTTGGGAGGCCCAGGCGGGCAGATCACCAGAGGTCAGGAGTTTGAGACTAGCCTGACCAACATGGAGAAACCTGGTCTCTACAAAAAAATACAAAAAATGAGCCAGGCGTGGTGGCACATACCTGTAATCCCAGCTACTTGGGAGGCTGAGGTAGAAGAATTGCTTGAATCCGTGAGCCAAGATTGAGCCATTGCACTCCAGCCTGGGCAACAAGAGCGAAACTCTTTCTCAAAAAAAAAAAAAAAAAAAAAAAAAAAAAAAAAAAAAAAAAAAGTTATTAAAAGGGAACACTGGAGCTGGTAAAGTTAAGAACCACTCAAGAATCTCTTGTATGTATATCTTATATACACCATTCTAGGGGTATTAAGATAGAACTCACTGATACATTACCCACCAGCACCTGTTGTCCCTGTTTTAGTCTCATCCTTAGACTGCAACTGAGTCTTTCCTCATCAACTGGCACATGATAGGTGGTAAATGACTTGTTGGAAGAGACTCTGGGAAACAGCAGAGACACCTAGCTCAAGGTTAGAAGATTTCTAGACTAACGCTATCCAGTAGAAATCTAGTGTAAGAAACAAATGTGAGCCATATATGTAGTTTAAAATTTTTTAGTAACCAAATTTTTTTTGAGAAAGAGTTTCACTCTTGTTGCCTAAGCTGGAGTATAATGGTGCGATCTCGGCTCACTGCAACCTCCACCTCCCAGGTTCAGGTGATTCTCCTGCCTCAGCCTCCTGAGTAGCTGGGATTACAGGTCCATGACACCACGCCTGACTAATTTTTTGTATTTTTACTAGAAACTGGGTTTCACCATGTTAGCCAGGCTGGTCTTGAACTCCTGACGTCAGGTGATCCACCCGCTTTGGCCTCCCAAAGTTCTGAGAATACTGGCATGAGCCACTACATCCAGCTAGTAACCACATTCTTTAGACTAAAAAAAAAAAAAAAAAGATGAAATTAATTTTAATATTTTATTGTATTATTAGATATATCCAAATCATTTCAACATGTAATTGATAGGAAAATTATTGATGAGATACTTTACATTCTTTTTTTCGTATGGAATCTTTGAATTCCGGTGTGTATTTTACACTTAACAGCAAATCTCAATTCAGACCTGCTGCATTTCAAGTGCTCCATAGCCATACGTGGCTGCAGGCTACTGTATGAACAGTGCAGATCCAGAGTCTTTTCAGTTACTAAGTTCCTAGGTAATTCTCCAAGAGATAATTCCTTCCTTGGGGCTCAGTTTCTTCATAATTCAAACAGAGTCTCAGCCAAATGTTCTTGCTTCCAGCACTGACCTCCTATGATTTTCTTAAATTTAGCCAGTCCTTTTCTCCTCTCTCTTTACTCATCCCCTTTTCTCCCCCATTTTACCATTTCTCTTTCCCTATTTCTTCTCCCCTCATCCCAAGTTCTTTTCTCTATCTAATCCCAGGGTGGAATTGGCGGGGAGACGGACAGTGGCTTACACCTGTAACACCAGTACTTCAGGAGGTCAATGCAGGAGGATTTCTTGTGCCCAGGAGTTTGAGACCAGCCTGGGCAGCATAGGAAGATGCCATCTCTACACAAAATTTAAACATTGTAGCGGGTGCAGTGGCTCATGCCTGGGACTGCAATCCTAGCACTTTGGGAGATCATTTGAACTCAGGAATTCCAGACTAGCCTGGGCAACGTGGAAAAACCTCATTCAAAAAACACAAAATTTAGCCGGGCATAGTGGTGCTTGCCTGTGTAGTCCCAGCTACTTGAGAGGCCAAGGTGAGAGGATCGCTTGAGCCCAGGAGGTCGAGGTTGCAGTGAGCCATGATTGCGCCACTGCACTGTAGCCTGGGCAACAGAACTGCTTGTCACCTTAGTTTCCTAATCTGTAAAATGGTGATAATATTCACCTCAGAGGTTGTTGGGGGGATTTAATGTGATGGCGTAAATGAAATAGCATAATAAACATTGTTCTCTATAATTGTTCTCATTTTAAAAATGAGGCTGGGGAAGGAGAGGCATTATCATTCCTAGGAAGCACAGGTGCTTGACTCTGTTTTTTGTTGTTGTGTTTTGTTTTTTTCAGACAGAATCTTGCTGTGTCGCCCAGGTTGGAGTGCAGTGGTTTGATCTGGGCTTGCTGCAGGCTTGACCTTCTGGATGGCTGGGACTACAGGTATGCTCTACCACACCCAACTTAGTAACTGAAAAGACTCTGGATCTGCACTGTTTAATACAGTAGCCTGCAGACTAATTTTTGTATTTTTTGTAGAGATGCGGCTTTGCCATGTTGCCAGAGCTGGTCTTGAACTCCTGAGCTCAAGGGATCCACCCACCTGGGTCTCCCAAAGTGCTGGAATTACAGACGTAAGCCACTACGCCTGGCCCAAATGAGTGCTTTTTATATGATCCACAATCATAAATAACTCCTTTGCTTCATACAGAAGGGATTTACAGTCATTTAACTGTATTCTTTTTAAAACTATCATTCCCATTTTACAGAGAACATGTACTTTGCCCAAGGCCACACAGTGAAGGGTAGAACTGGGGTTATGCTCTTAATTATGCTATGCCAAGTGAGGTCTCCACCTAGGTACGCCAGCAGCACACTGGGAATACAGTCATGAGCCACCATGCCCAGCTCATGACTGTATTCCACACTGTAAACGTTGGTTACAGAGAAACAACAAAAGTGTGTGGTTACAGCAGCATACGTAAGTCACTTCTGGGCACTTAATGTCATAGTGTCAATGTCTGGTTTGTTTTGTTTTGTTTGCTTTTGAGACAGGGTCTAGCTCTGTCACCCAGTCTGGAGTACAGTGGTTTGATTATAGATCACTGCAGCCTTGAACCCTTGGGCTCAAATGATCCTCCCACCATGGCCTCCCAAAGGGCTTGGATTACAGGCGTGAGCCACCACACCCAGCCTGTTTATTTATCACTGTAAGGCTGGTTGCCTCGCTGGGAGTTCAGACACGCCCATCTCCCTTCCCGCTTGAAAATTAGAATATGTCAATCATCTAGCCCCACCTTGGAAATCCCCTCTGCACTAGGATGCCAATCATCTAGCTCCGCCTTGGAAATCCCCTCTGCACTCAGCACCTAACCCCCACTCTTGGAAATCCCCTCTGCACTCAGCACTTAGCCCGCTCACAGGAAGTCCCACCTCCCTACCAATAGCAGCTCCCGCTGTCCACATCCTGTTTCTCCAAATCCAATCGAACGCCTTCACTCCCTATAAAACCCCACTCCTGAGAGGAAGCAGCGCGACTTCCTTGGCCCCTCTTTCCAGGACCACAGAACCTCGCCTGGGAGCTTAGTAAATTGGAATTGGCATCTAATTTTCTTGTGTGGGCCTCAGTTTCCTTTTTTTTAACTCAGTGGTAAACCTAAAGAGAATAAACTTTACAAGTGTTGCCAAAACCCGGGAGGGAGTTGTACGACCCCTCCTGGGGGAAACTGACTCCTCCACCCGCCGGACCAGGGAACCCCTCCATTGCAAGGTAACAGGGAACTGCTCCATCGCAAGGTAAGACTTCTGTTACCCACAACCTCCCTCACTGCCTGCCTCGTGGACTCCCTGCTCACTATCGCCAGGGACTCCTCATTTCTCACTGTGGACCCGGGGCCCCAGTGTTGTTTTGCCGTGGGCCTGGGGCCCCAGCCTCGTCTCGAGGACCTCAGCATAGAGGAGACATCCCTACTCTCTTGTCTTCTCCCCGTGAGGGGATTCCGGGGGTCAGGAATTTGAGGGAGATGTCTCCATCTTCCTGAACCCTCTCCGGTGTTCGGTAAGGCGATCCGGGATGCCTTCCGAACATCTCCACAGCAGCGGCCGAGGTTTGGGTATTCAGAAGCCCTGTTTATAAACCCAAGCCCTGCCTAACAGCAGGACCAAATCTCCGGCTTACTGTACTAAAACATCTATCTCAAGTTCTCAGATCAGCCCTTTTGGCATATAAGCCCTCCTTAAGTAACTTTTCTTTTTTTTCCTCCTCTTCTACTGAGGTGTCTCTCTCTCTCTCTCTCTCTCCTCTCTCTCTCTCTCTCTTTGTTAAATTGTTACAGTGTTACAGCCTGTAGGCGCTCTCAGCCACCCCACCCCCCACAAAGGAGTACTTCTGCCTGTGTTGAGTGTAAGACCTTCCCTATTCATTTCTAACCCCTAACTACCCCACAAGAGTGAACCATGGGCAATCAGAAGTCCCGCCCAGACCCTAAATCGCCATTGGGATACCTAGTCCAAAATCTACCCAAGCTAGGTCTCTCCATTAAAAAGAAAAGGCTGCTTTTCCTCTCCACCGTGGCCTGGCCACAATATCTCCTAGACAACCAGTCTAAGTGGCCTCCAGAAGGCATGCTCAACTTTAAGGTCCTCACAGGCCTAGACAACTTTTGCCAAAAGAACAGTAAATGGTCAGAGAGAGGTTCCCTACGTGCAGGCTTTCTGGTACCTTCGCTCCCAGCCTGCCCTCTGCTCTTGTACCATCTCCCAGGTTCTGTTAGCCAAAACCCCACCTTTGCCTTCAGCCCTGTGTGGCTCCGCACTCTCCGAAGACCCAGAAGACCTGTCATGCCCTGCCTGCTTTACCAAACCCCTCCTTATTCGAGGCCTCAACTCCCTCCTCCCTCTTCTCTTTCTCCTCTACAAAGCGCTAGTATAACTTCCCGTCAGTGCTCGTACCCGCTTTCACGACCCCCCACTCCTCTGCCCTTTGCGTGAGGTAGTGGGAGCAGAAAGCGTTGTCCGAGTGCATGTTCCCTTCTCTCTGTCTGATCTGTCAGCCATTGAAAAATGCCTAGGGTCATTCTCTACCAATGCTACCGTGTATACCAAAGAGTTTCGTTACCTCACCCAGGTGTACGACCTAACCTGGCATGACGCCTATGTGATCCTGTCTTCCATTCTTACTCCTGATGAGCGTGACCGCATTCTTACAGCGGTCCGAGCTCACGCTGATCGGGTACATCTCACAAACAATCAAATGCCAGTAGGCGCGGTGGCGATCCCCGAGGCTGACCCTAATTGGGACTATCAAACCGGTCAAGATGGCTGCTGCCGCCAAGACCAAATGTTACAGTGCCTCCTAGCAGGCATGCAAAGTGCAGCTCAGAAGGTAGTTAATTATGACAAGTTAAGGGAAATAACTCAGGGTTCTGATAAAAACCGAGCTGCCTTCCTAGACCAATTAACTAATGCTATGATCCTCCATACCCGGCTAGATCTGGCCTCCTTAGCAGGGGCTACAGTCCTAGCCACCCACTTCATCTCCCAGTCAGCAGCTGATATAAGGAGGAAACTTAAGAAAGCTGAGGAAGGCCCCCAAACGCCCATACGGGACCTGGTGAACACGGCATTTGAAGTTTTCAATGGCCGAGAGGAACAGGCTGAGGCCACCTGCCAGGCCCATTTACAGCAAAAAGTAGGCCTCCAAACCTGAGCTCTTGTAGCAGCCCTGAGGCCGGCAGTCCACCGAACATCTGGTGGAGGGGGTCCATTGAAACCCTCCCAAAATTCGTCAAAGGCTCCGCCTGGGCCCTGCTTCAGATGTGGCCAGGAGGGACACTGGGCACGGCAGTGCCCCTGTCCTTGTCCACCTCCTGGGCCCTGCCCAAGCTGCAAACAGACTGGACACTGGAAGGTTGACTACCCATCCCGGGCTGCAGGCTCACCCCCCACACCTCTATGTGGAGGGCAGGCCGGTCCACAGGAAGCGGTTCCTTTGCTTGAACTTCTTGGTCTTCTGAATGACTGATGCAGCCCGGACTTGAGGACCCCCATCACCCTCACCAAGACCAGGGTAACACTGCAGGTAGCGGGTAAGTCCATTTCCTTTTTAATGGATACAGGGGCTACCTATTTGGTACTGCCTTCCTACTCAGGACCTAGCATACCTTCCCAGGTTTCAGTCATGGGGATTGATGGAAAGCCGTCCTCTCCTAGCCAAACTGGTCCCTTAGCCTGTGTCCTTGAGGGGCACCCCTTCTCCCACTCCTTTTTAATTATACTCTCATGCCCAGTCCCCCTTTTAGGACGAGATATTCTCCAGACGGTAGGGGCCACCCTCCAATTCACTGGCTCCCCATATTCAAGCTCATCCTCTGCCCACCTCCTTCTGCTACTCCTAACCAGTATAACCCCCTGCCTTAACCCCTCGCCTAAACCCCTCATCCCTCCTAAGGAAGTTAATCCCTCAGTATGGGATACCTCCCAGCCTGTGGTGGCCAGACACCACACACCAGTTAAAATACTCCTGAAGAACTCTACCCACTTTCCCTCACGTCCTCAGTTTCCCATCTCAAAAACCCACCACCAGGTCCTAAAGCCTATCATCACCCAACTTCTGGCCCAGGGACTCCTTATTCCCACTAGTTCCCCCTGTAATACTCCTATCTTACCGGTCCGAAAGCCGACCGGCAACTACCGCCTAGTTCAGGACCTGCGCCTCATCAACGAGGCGGTGGTACCCATCCACCCGGTGGTCCCCAACGCATACACTCTGTTATCCAACATTCCCTCTACTACTTCTCATTTTACAGTCCTTGACCTTAAGGATGCCTTCTTTACTATTCCCCTTCACCCAGAGTCTTACTTCCTTTTTGCCTTCACCTGGGCTGATCCTGACACTAACCTATCACAGCAGCTCACCTGGACAGTCCTGCCCCAGGGATTTAGGGACAGCCCCCATATTTTCGGACAAGCCTTAGCAGCTGACCTTAACTCCTGCTCCCTCAAACCCAGTCTCCTTCTCCAGTATGTGAATGATCTGTTACTTTGTAGCCCCTCCCTCCCTCTTTCTCAACAACATACTGCCACTATCCTTAACTTTCTTGGATCCAAGGGGCACCGGATATCTCCCTCTAAAGCACAGTTATCAGTCACCTCAGTAGTCTACTTAGGCATTTGCCTCACCCCCAAAACTAAAAGCCTAACAACCGACCGCCGGCAAGCACTTCTTTCATTGTAGCCCCCAGACTGCAGACCAGATTCTCTCCTTAGGATTTGTAGGATACTTCCGTCACTGGGTATCTAACTTTGTCGCTCTAGCTAAACCTCTGTATGTGGCAGCTAAGGACACACCCACGGGACCCCTCTCTCATCCCAGAGTTGTAAAACAAGCTTTCAGAACCCTACAATCTGCTTTATCCATGGCACCTCCACTTCATCTGCCAGACCTTAACCATCCCTTCCACTTGTTTACTGACGAGAAACAAGGGATTGCAGTTGGAGTCATAACCCAATCCCTAGGTCCCGTGTATCATCCTGTAGCATATTTATCAAAACAACGTGATCCCAC